GTCCTATTGTAGTTGAGCCTTGGTTGCTGTTGGCGTCCCTGGGAGGAATTGACCCCCAGGCCAGTCAGCTGTGAGGACCAGCTGCAACTACAGCCAAAGAGCTGCTGTGCTGGAGACACCCCTATGGAGCAGGATTTACTTCAGTGGAGCTTTGGTGTTCACCAAGTGTGCCCCTTGAGTGTCACTCGTGGATGTGGTAGGGTTGTAATCCAGCGTGGTTGAGTCTGACCACCAGGTACACGGTCTCTGGGGCCTCCCGGGAGGTGCAAAGTCAACTTGTGTCAGTGCCTTGCCCAGGCCCACCCAGCATGAGCTACTCAGCAAACTGTAGTTGGCTGCTCCTTGTGCTGGGGTTGGCGGTGCCCAGGAGAGGCCAAGCTATGAGCCAGTGCAGCTGCTGCTAGTGCCAGGCCTGGGGCCGCTTATCAAGCCATTTGGGGCCCGCTGCTGCTTGTTTGAGAGATTTTAGGAAAGTCCTAAGCATGAGGCTGGAGAGGCCACTTGCACAGAAAAGCCCCTGGAAATGGCCTGGATATGCTGCAGGTGGGAGGGGCGGGGCCTCCGGGGATCACGGGGCGGGGCCAAAGGTGAGTCAGGTGCTGGCGATTCAAACATGGCGCCTGCCCGCCGGCTGTGCGGGGAGGACTCGCCAAGGAGCCATGGCCTCTGCCAGCCCTTCTGCCTGGGAGGAAGCCGCCCTCCGCCTCTCGCCCGGATCTCAGGCAGGTTAGTTCCGCCCGAGTGTCCCGGGTCCTTTCCTGCTGCCCGGCGCTGGGCTCAGAGGGAGCGTCCGAGTGAGTCCGTGCCGGGCCCTTTAGAGGAGCTGCTGGGGCTCCCGCAGCCTCTGGGACCCTCAGCCACAGTCCCCACTGGTTTCGCAGCCCCAAGGTGTGGAGACGTCTCTTCCCGGCCCTGGAGCCCTGGGCTGGGGGCCTGATGTGGGGCTGGGACCCCTCCCTCCTTCGGGAAACCCCCACCGCCAAGATGTCCTCCTGGGTTTACCCGGCTGCACTGGGTGTGGGCCCGCAGCCCCGTCTCTGCGATTCAGCCCCGATCCACCTGCGTCTCCGCCCCTCCTACGGGTCTCGATGCTTCTTCAGCTCCCTGGTTGTGGGGCTTCTGTGAAGCCAGATCTCAGGAGGCTCTGAGTGATGGTGGTTCTGTATTTTAGTTGTGATTTTTATGTGGTTGCGGGAGGTGGCGGGTGTAGCTGTTACCTACGTCTCCGTCTTGTTCTTCTCTGTCCAAAATCTTTCATTCTTTCTCTCGGAACACTCATATCCCTCTCGCAATCACAATTGTGCTTCCATCTTTATGCCGAGCAACTCCCGGGTGGCAAAAACCATTTGGGAGATTTTGCTGTAAATTCAAAGAATGAACTCTTATTCTGTTTCGTTCCACTTGCAGGCTGTATGTAACAGTAGTGTGAATGGATGTACCAAGATCTATAAACCTGTCTGTGGGACTGATGGACAAACTTATTCTAATGAATGCATTCTATGCATGGAAAATAAGTGAGTAAAAGCTTAAATTTCTTTTAAAATATATTTTAAGCTAGTTGTCTTCAAATTTTCATGTCTCTTATCCCCTGAAGCCCCAATCAATATAGCGATATCATCCATTCTACCACAAGAGAAACAAGACATCTAGTTTTCCAAAAATAATTTTCAACCCTTTTTTCTCATTATTTATCTGGTATGATTATATAGAGGTGCGTGTGTGTTGACAGAAAATAATATTTATTGTGTCGAGCATTGTGCAAGGCACTTAATATTCACAAAGCCTCTATGGGGTAAATAACACTAAGCCCGTTACACACATGAAGAAATTGACTCAGTTACTCTACATAACTTACCCGAGATCACCAGCAGTAAGTGGCAGAGCGGGGACCTAGTCCTTGCTCTTCCAAACATGCTTCAGCGTCAGGTTCCAGACTGAGGATCTGTGAGATACAGAAGAAAATCCAACCTGCTTTGTCTCTCAGTTCGCTTACACTCAACGCTAACAGTGTGGTCAATGGGCGTCTGAGCACAGAGCTCAGAGAGCAGAAAATTAAAAACAATGAATTCTGCCTGCTAGGATTTGGAAAAGTTTGGAGGCTTTTTCTATGCCATAAAGAAGGAGAGAAATAAGAAGGGGAAAAAATGAATAAAATAGACCGGAATTAATTAATATGGTGCAACATAAAATATGTTAAGGACAATGGAATAGAGGAGGGAAAATGTTTGAATGGTTCTCTCATGAATTAAAAAAAATCAATGCTTTCATAGCAAAACTGTAGATAGTGTGGATTTTTAAAAAGCTTATACACCCCAAATGCCCTTAAAGGTAAAATATCATTGTAGGTATAGTAATAATTGTGTTTACTAAAACCTGAAATATGCAAGTATGAATTATATAGATTAGGTGACCAAAACATATCTTTGTAACTTTTTTATTTGTGGCATGAGAGCCGGCCTCAATGAAGCTCATTTTCTGAAGTGATTATAGGTGGGTGATGGGAACCAGGCTCAGGCCCTCAGAGAAATAGCTCTGCCATGGATTTCCTACCTTACTCAGCTACCGAACACAAGCACCGTGCTAGTCGCTGCTTTTCTTGTGCTTATGAATAAGTGGAGATAGGTCCTGAGCACAAGTAAGGGAGCTTCTTACAACTTGTGACAAATGCCGCCAAAGGAGCTACGAGCAAACTGCTACAGGAGTGAAGAAAAGCTAGAGATTTCTTCTTCCTAAAAGGGTCAAGAAAGGATCCATGAAAAGGATGTTCTTTTGGTAGCATCACGAAAGTACTCCAGGTCAAATAAAGGTGTAAAATGATCAGAACAAGAGATTCCACAACTGACCCAGAAAACTCAGTTACCATAGAGTTTATTGGGTATTAAAGCTTTGATTTAGGCTCAAATGACTACATTTCCACAATTCCACGGTATAAATTCCCTCTAACGTGATCTCTCTTCTTGGTCTACTTTAAATCATTTCAGAAAAGTCTCAGTGTTTAACAAGGATTGTGGAAATAGGTCATCAGGGAGAAAGGTCTAATATCCTAAAGTTTTAAACCCAAAATATTAGGTGTTGGCTTTTTGGTGCATTTATTTCCACTTTAAAGAGTTGCAAGAGGCCCCGGCTGGTGCGGCTCAGTTGGTTGAGCGTTGTCCCATGCACCAAAAGGTCAGGGCACGTACCCAGGTTGCGGTTCAATCCCTGGTCAGGGTGCATACGAGAGGTAACTGATCGATATTTCTCTCTCCTATACATGTTTCTCTTTCTCCCTCTCTTTCGAAAATCAATACAAATCTATTTTTTTAAAAAAGGCTTGTAAGAGGGACTTGAAACCACTTGTTAATTTTCTCATGACCTATGTTGTTGACATTAAGGTCAAATATCATATTTCCATCCAAGGGAAGGAGAAAGCAATAGAACAGCCTTGGACACCTGGGAAATTTCCAAGTGCCAAGACCAAGAGGCTCAATGTTTAGAGTGAAACATATTGGGAAACATGAGCGCAGAGCCGGGACACCCGCCCTGTTCCCTCAGCCTTCACAATGTACCAGTCCTGCTTTCTCTCTGTTCTTCAAAAAAAAAAAAAAATTAAATATGGGAGGAACATTTGATTGCCAGAAAATGTAACTTCTCCAGTATTTTTCAGATAAGAAAACAGGTCTACAGAGAAAATTACTCAAATGCAACATCTTCTCAAATGCACCACATTGCCTTTCTCTCTATTGCCCATTAAAAGCACCCAGCAAGTGCACTGTATCCTTAATAACTTAACCCCTAGTTATCGGGTTTTGTGATGGGTAGACAAACGAGGGCTTCTATCTCCTTGATAGTTATGTGCTTGGCAGATATTTTCAGTAAGGGCCGTTTCCTATTTCTTCTACATCTTCGGGACTTTGTACTGGCAAGTTCTTTTCAGCATCTCCAGCAGAGCTTTCTGCAACGACGGACGTGCTCTCTGTGCCGTCCAATATGGAAGCCCCGAGCCACGCCTCTGGCACTTAAAATGCAGCTAATACAACGGAGAAACTGAATTTTAATATCAATTAGCTTTAACTGATTTACATTCAAATAGCTACATGTGGATAGCGTCTACTATACTGGACAGCACAGCTCAAGAAAAGGAGGGACTTGGGTGCTCTGTTTAGATGTTTGTGCTTGTATATGCNTGTCTACTATACTGGACAGCACAACTCAAGAAAAGGAGGGACTTGGGTGCTCTGTTTAGATGTCTGTGCTTGTATATGCTACGTCAGAAATAAGCATTATGAGTGGTTAAGAATTATGGAGCCCGGCCGGGCATGGCTCAGCAGTTGAGCGTCAACCTGGGATCGAGGCGATCGGGGTTCAGTTCCCTGTCAGGGCACATGCCCGGGTTGTGGGCTCGATCAATGACTCTCATCATTGCTGTTTCTATCTCTCTCTCCCTCTCCTTTCCTTTCTCTGAAATCAATAAAGAAATATTAAAAAAATAATAATTATGGAACAAGAAAGCATAAAAAAACTCCTAAAATGAAGAATCAGCAAGGTCTAGATAAATACAGGCATAAAGATATATGAGCCTGGCCAGTGTGGCTCAGAAGTTGAGCATTGACTTGTGATCCAGGAGATTGCAGCTCAATTCCCCATCAGGGCTCATGGCCAGGGTTTCGGGCTCGATCCTCGGTAAGGGTCGTGCAGGAGGCGGCAGATCAATGACTCTCTCTCATCATTGATGTTTCTCTCTCTCTCCCTCTCCCTTCCTCTCTCTGAAATCAGTAAAATGATATTTAAACATATATATATGAGTCAGATGTCCTCAAGCAATAGAGAAGTAAAATAATTTTTATAACCCAGTATATTCAAGGAAAGAATGGATAGAAAAATGAGAGATCTGGAACTAATCTCACAAGGAACAATGAAAGGATTTAGAAATATTTGGCTTAGAGAAGAGGAAACTGGTTTGGGAAAGGAGGACAGAAAATTTTTTATTGGAGGGGAGGGTGCTTCGAGCTGGCAGGTATCAGATGGGAGAGAGATGGCTTCCTTTGTGAGGTCTCAGGAACATGAATCCCAAGAATTCTAAGGGGAAAGCTCAATCAGTTGGAAGGCCTTGCAGTCGCCCAGGCACCAACCTGGAGACTCAGTGGTTGGGACAATAACATCAGGAGCAAAAGAAGCAACAATGGATTTGAGGTTAATTTCAGAGGTTCCACTGTGATTCCCACCTGATCTGTAAGGACACATACTTTTTCTTTCTGTTATATCCCTAGTGTATGTAATAGTTCTCAATCAGTACTTGGTGAATTAATGAATAGGTGGATGAAAGAAAGAGAAATGGGGATAAATCTCAAACCTCAAGTCTTTAAAAACACCTCTCTATTTTGAATAAAGCTAAACTTTTTTTGTTGGTTTTCTCCCATAGTCATTTTTTATGTCAGCAAAGTTTAAGCTAATTTTTTTTCAATGTCTTCTACAGGAACCGCAAGACTCCTGTCCTCATTAAAAAACAGGGGCCTTGCTGAAAACCCAGGTTCTGAAATCCTGTGAGGTCACCATGATGCCCACTGCCTGATTGTTAAATAAAATGCATCTAAATATTTCCTGTGGCTCCCATATGCTTTATTCTCAGAGACATGTTCAATTATAGTGGGGACAAAGAGCCAAGTTTATAAAATCCAGCAATCCTGTAATTTCAGACAGGGTTTCCTTCGCGATACTTTTCCCTTCCCCATCTTCCCCACATTCTGAGGACTCTGTCTCAGGAAATGTGACTGCTGATATTAAGTGACAGGACACAGTTGATCAGCAATACATTCGGGATTAGACTAGCATTTTCAGAAACAGTTGGAAAACTAGTCCGGAAACATGTTAGCCATCACCTTTCACTACTGAAATCATTCCTTTAGGTTTCTTTGGGATTTAATTGAGCATCTATTGCGCCTGGCATTGGTCTAGCTACATGGATGTAAGATTTCAAAGAGCTATCTGGTAGGAAAAAAAATAGCCAATATTTTCCTTCTATCTCAGAGTATAGATTTCAGGTGAGACACAATTTTCTCAAAGAGGCTCTGAATCATTGAGGAAACCAGAAAAGCTACATTTTCTCAACTCTGCTGTGGAACAGCCTCTGCATTCAGCCATACGTCATCCTCAGCAGGGGTAACTCCCCCTTAGTGAGTGGGGTGAGTAGCAGTGCTACTGAGCTCCCCACTTTCGCTGGTACCTGAGGTCTGGGTGGAGGGCTTCATAGAGCTTGACTCAGAGATGTGCTTCGTAGGGCCTGAGGGCTTTGTGCTGAGCTAACCAGAAGGGGACCAAAAGCCTGATTCTGAATTATTTGAGGAATGGTCTCTTTTGCCATCAAACCATCCCCAAGAGGTGATCAGGCAAGAAAGGAGCTACAGGCCAGATGAACGGGTGGTGAGGACTCTGTGTGGTTCACTTTGTTTCACATGTCAGCCACAAAAGCCCTGAAAAGTTAACTTTATCTTGTGAGTAAACAGAAAAGTTAAATAACATGGCTAATATTAGCAGCACATAAGAGGGCAGAGCTAGGCTTTGGAGCCAGGGCTGACTCCAAGCCTAATGCTTCATCTCAAGTGCAGTCACCTCCGGTGGATTGTTCGTTGTCTATTTCTTCTGTCCGAGCATTAGGTAATATCCTCATATTAAAATATGTATTTATACTCAGAAACAGCAAGGTAGAAATAAAGAACTACCTTCAAGAGAGGAAAGTGTCGGTAATTATTGAAAAGGAAAAGCAACTTAAACTCCTGAGCTCAAGTAGAGAACTGAGCCTGGAATGGAGAAATGGACAGAGGGCTGAAAGGACCTGAGATGCATCAGGCTCCCCGATATACAGTGGGGAAGAGTCACCCATCCAACCAGAAATAGCCAATCAAAATCTGTCCCACGCCTGCAAAAGACCAACACTCAAGTTTAGGCGAATTTCTTGTGATACCCAGAATACACGTGTCTTAAGGTTTGAATCCGACCACTAGAGGATGCTGTGGTCTGCCAAGTGACTCGGCCAACCGGGCACGGAACAGCCCCCGGATAACCTGCTACCAGACCGTATGGGTGCAAGATGGCTTCCAGCATCTTGTCCGTGACGCTAGAGGACACCTGAAGGGCACATTAAGGAACTTTGCCAGAGGTAACAGAATGTGAATCACTGAGTGCTAGAAATAATCAAGTCTAACTGGACCATTTCACAGATCTTGAGACAAAAGGTTTGGAGGCGATAGGCAGAGGCGATGCATACGTGCAGATTGTCTGCCTCTAATGCTCTGCTCTCTCTCTGACCTGTTAAAAAATAAACTGAGGCAACTCGTATTTCTGCCCGGTCATATCTGGGGAGCCTCCAACCTGACTGCTGCCAAGTCAAGTCCTCAGGACACGAGAGAGGACAAGCAAGAAGACATAGCTGTCCCTGGGGGAGAATGGATCTACAACCAATGGGTGACTGAAAGCAAATACACAAGCCACAATTCAAAGATCTAATTCCTTTTTTTTTTTTTTTGCCTGACAATCTGAACTTGGAAAGGAAGGAACAAAGTGAGATTTGACCTTCCTGTCTCAACCAGGCACCACAGACAGAGAGAGCGATGGGAGAGCTGACTTTGGTAAGAATTCTTCCCTTTTGCCGGCATCTGCCAGTTTTCCCTGGATCCTGTCTGCAGGCTCTGGAGCAAGCGGGGTGTCCTAGTGGGTCTCATCCGGGTCACCAGAAACTGTAGAGAAGGAAAATAATTTTCCCAACGTCCTTATGGTGACAGCTTGGCTGAGAGGTGCCTTTTCCTCTAAGGTAGAAAGTCAGAGAATTTCTCAAATTCTCAGTTTCCTTATATCTAATATGAGGTTAATAAGAACAGTTCCTGCCATACAGGAATCACCCAGGAAGTATTAGCTATTATTATTGTTATTGTTACGGTTACTACTCATCTCCTTGACCTTCAAGCTCACTAAAAAGGTCTTGTGGTGCGTGAACATTTCCCTGGAGCAGGAGCTCTGCTTCTTCTGGTAACAATTCATCGTATTCGTGAACTGTCAGGGATTTTATGGAAGAGACTCCTCGACTACGTAGGAGATTGGACTGACATCTCTCTGCTTTTAATTGTAAAACAATTCCAGAATTATAAACCACACCCTCAAAGTAGGAACTCGGGCATAGCGGCCAAGTTTTTTGGACTGAGAAGGGTTTTGTGGCCCTGGTAGGGATAGGGTAGTAAACCCAGTTCCCACTGGTAGGTCCCCATCCCTGGGTCCTGCAATCCTCATAAATACAGGACCACACAACTGCAGCTGCACTCCAAGGGGCATGGCCACAGGGACAACAGATTTCTGTAGTTGCCTTTACTGGTTTCAGAGTATTTGAAATATGGGACTATCAGAAGGAAATAGTATACCAAGAATATTTTGTCCTGTTGGAAAAGTAAACTTGTTTGAAATTAAATTTATTTTTTTAAATGAGCTATACTGAACCTCCTGATACATAGGAACATGAAAAACATTCAACCTTATCTTCATGTCACTGATGGAAATACCAATATAGCTCCTATAAACCTTGGCTTACTTCAACAAAGTAAAAATAAAATGTATTGGCAGAATAGAGGCAGCAGTTACACTGAAACATGCGAAGCTCTACCATTCAAAGTCTTAGCACTGCCAACAATTTCCTTTGTTTGCTTTCACTGTTTCAGTGGTAGCTAATTTTTTTTTAATTGATTTCAGAGAGAGGGCGGGAGAGGGAGAGAGAGAGAGAAACATCAATGATGAGAGAGAGCCATTGATCGGCTGCCTCCTGCACGCCCCCTGCTGGGGATCGAGCCCGCAACCCTGGCCTGTGCCCTGACAAGGAACCAAACCGCAGCCTCCCCGATCCCAGGTCGATGCTCAACCGCTGAGCCACACCCGGCGGGGCAAGTGGTAGCTAATTTTTAGCTAAAAATATGGACTATGTAGAGAAAAAGATGTTCACTAAAAGGAAAAATACAGTTTGCTTTTAAACAAGATTAACCGAAAAGTCAACAAACAACAAGAGCGACTGCAACAGAGCCTGGCTGTGGCAACAGGCGACCCACTCTACTCAATGCATGTGTAGCCAGGAATTAAGAGTGTAAAACAGAATCCATTCATTTTGGCTTTTCAGCATTCCCCATAGAAGGAAGAAGCAGGGAGGAGACTAAAGGGGGGACTAGGGGTCACCAGCCAAAGAGCTGTGTTAGAAACAAAAAAGTAAACACAAAGAGAAAACCACAAAAGAAAGCGAGANGGACTAGGGGTCACCAGCCAAAGAGCTGTGTTAGAAACAAAAAAGTAAACACAAAGAGAAAACCACAAAAGAAAGAGAGAGAGAGAGAGAGAGGGATGGAGAAAAACCTACCTGTGGACGTCCGAGGGGAAAGCAGCAGAGAGGGCCAAGTGACACAGAACAAAACAAACCCAAACCAGGAAGATAAGCAGCTGAACGGAAAAAGAGAAGCAGAAAGACAGCGAAAATCTAGTAAGTTCCGTCGTGAGTGAGACCCTGGAAGACCACAAGCAAAGCAAGCTCTGTTTTGAACTGCTCGTGCTAAATTCCAGTTTCTTTAAAAGGCCTTTTATTTACTGAAACGAACTGTATGTGCCTTTCTTTAAAACTTACAACTATTTATATATTTTAAAAACCTATCTTTATTGTTGAAACTATTACAGACGTCCTCTATTTTTGCCCATTGACCCCTTCTGCTCCCACCCCCNCCCAACCCAGCACCCCTACCCTCGCCCCAGGCCTTCACCACACTCTTGTCCACAAGTATATTTTTTGAAATAAATTTTTTTTGGAGTTCTAGAGACCATTAAACTATTCAAGCGTCTTCATAGAAATTACCGCCAAACTTTAAAGACGTAAATTAGCCCCAGGCGAGAGTAAAGGGGGTGGAAGCTAACCTGCACCGAGTAGCTCCATGTGCCAGACCCTCCCTCACACGGGGCGGCGGGCGGGCGGTCCCCGGGTCCCCGCTCAGCTCTGCGGCGCGGTGCAGGTTAGGAGCTCCCGCCGGCTGCTCAGCGCAGGGTGCTCTCAGGCCCATGCACGGCTTCCAGCGGACAGCTGGCAGAGCAAGCTAGGCCCTGGCCAGCTTCTAGGCCCTTGGTATCACCTTCTTTCTTTTGTTCCTCCAGCCCTTCTAAGAACATTGTAGCCAACTCCCTCATGAAATCCCTCCAAGAAATATTTAGAGCGGTCTCTGACTTCTGGGCATGACACTAACTGATACACATGTGAACCTCTGGCTTATGAAATACAGGAGAAAACTATTTTCTGAAGCTGTCTGCTCTTTCTGGTCGCTATTTCCTGCCCTAGTCTGGTATATCATTTGGGAAATAGTTCCGATCATCTCAGCCAGGGCAACAGTGTGGTGTAGCAGAAAAACAGTTGCGTGATCTTGGGCAAATGAAAATTACCTTTCAGGGCAAATTTCCTTCAAAATGGAATCATGAATATAGGTTGCTGCTCAAAAAAATGGAGATAATTATGTTA